TGAACAGCTGAACTGCTGAACTGCAGTCAGCTGAAGTAGCCTGCAGTGCTGCATTTAACCACTGTGCCACCTCGACTCTATGCCATAGGCCATCACTGATCTATGAATTCTCTAATGTTAAGTCATTTATTTTGTTTCCTGCAACCTTTGTTTTGAAAAAAACAACAATCATAACTCAGATGATTTCTTTCCTGCCAATTGAAATAAACTCTTAGGCAGATCATTAAAGACCACTAATGTCCATGTGTGAAAAAGAGACGGCACTGCTGACCCTTAGTTTAACTATACTATGTTGAATAAATAAAGTTAACATGGTTGGCATAATATAGAAAGCATGGTCATCCAACCCTAAGCCCCATCCAATGAACTATCTAATAACTAAATGTAATATACGAATGATATGACTTACATATCAATAGATGTGCATACCTTATATCCTGATTTAAAAAAACCCTCTCTTGTCCATAGTTCATTTGTTTTGGCTTTAGCAATGTATGTGTTTAGCTGAAAGCAATATTTCTCCCAATTAAACTGGGCCATTAAAATTGATTTCTACTGTTTTGTTGATTTTAATACACTCTGGCGCAGCTGATTGATGTTAAACCAGTATTTTTTAATTGTAAGTATTGCAGTTAAGTTATAGCTTTTGGGATAAAACCATAGCTGACTTAGAATTCTCATATTTTTTTTTTAAAAAAATATATAAATAAAGCTGCTATATTTTTAAAAAATATATAGCAGCTATACAGATAGTAGGATAATGGTTTAAGCAAGACGTTTCACTATAAATCTTTCCAGAAATATGACCACATTTTTTAATCCACAAGCTATGCTTCCAAATGGATTTTGTAAATATTGTACACTTGTTATCCCCTGGAAACAGGCAAGGTTAGGAAGCAGGAGTTGTTAGGAGTTTTCAAATTCAATTTATTGCAGTCGGAGATTTTTTTATCAGAATCCTGAAAGCCTGATAAAGCCCTTTTGTACTTCAGCATATACATAACACAGTCAAGGGAGAGTTATTTTGAGTATTTCTTACCTTCTTTATTTTTTCTTCCCAGACTCAGTCATTTGTTCTTTAATGGTGCGGTGTTGGCCTCACTCCTCTGCATTTGTCTGCTGGTATAGCAAATAAGATTACAATGATTTTAGACCAGAGTATCATAATTTGGGCAGCTTTACTATCTGTGGCCTTCAACTCCTAGAATTCCCCAACCAAAATGCTGCCTGGGAAATTTGGGAGTTGAGTTCCACACATCTTAAAAGTTGAAAAACACTGCTCTAGATGAAGCTTTCTGGATAGGAAGGGAAGTATCTTTTTATTCCTCCTCCTCCTCAAAATATCAGTCGGGTTGCTTTTTTCAAAAATAAAAAGCACCTTTGAGACAACCAGATTAAAGACAGATTATTTCATAAACCCTAATCAATGAATTGTTAATTAAGTTAAAGAATACCTTCTTTCCTTTCTTTAATCAGTATGTGCTAAAAAAAAATTTAGTAGTCCGTGCTAGAAGGAGCTTACATTTTAAAACATAGGGAAATAACTCAGGGGTGGGTTTCAGCCGGTTCGCGGCAGTCCCTGCAAACCGGTTGGTCGCCGAACCCAGAAGTAAGTAACTTCTGGGAACGGCGAAGAGCGTGCCCGCCCGCCCGCCCGCCCGCGGTCCTTACCCGGTTTTGACGAGTTCTGCGCTTCCATGCATGCGCAGGACACATACAGCGCCTGCACGATCGTCCAGGAGCAGCTGGAGCGTCGCGCAGACGCTAGTACACATGCGTGCACCGCGCGTGTGCACGAGGACGCCGCCGGCCCCGTTCCAACTGAACTGGTTGGAACGGGGCGAGAAACCCACCCCTGAAATAACTACAGGAAAACACTAGGCATGGAAGTAGAGATAAAAAGAGGAGAAACAAGGGAGAGAAATGCATTTATGTCAGGGATTATATTGAATTCAGGGTGGACAAATTTTTAAGTGCTCTTGTGTATTTTGCCCATCGTATATAACGATATTTGGGACTATATTATTACAGTGGGGTTTGAGGGCTAAGAATTTGGGCCAGAGAGTGTACATAAAGGATTATCATTGTGAAAGGATTTGATACCCTATAGCCTTCATGAATTTATATTCTGAAATTTGGTATAAAAAAACTTATTTGCTAAATTAGACTATCAACACAATCTAACAGGTGGAAAGAATCAAGCAAAAAAAAAATAATCTCCAAAATTAAGGCATGTTTATCTGCATTTCTATCTGAATACTGGATGGGAGAATAAGTTGCCAGCAGGAGATGCCAGTTTTCATCATGGGTCCCTACTGATTTTCTATTTGCCGTTGTCACTTGATTTCTGGTACATGCTTCAAGACATGTCATTACACAGCGGGCATCTGAGGGTGTTGGGCAGAAGATTTTCCCCATAGCTTTCACACCAACTGCGGCAGAACCAACATAAATCAGTGAGAAAGTGTCAAGAAGTCCAAAAAGATATACTACTAGCACGCCAAAAGTGAGCTGTGCAGGAACACTGCAGTCTTAAGCCACAGTGGTGCAGTGGTTAGAATGTAGTACTGCAGGCTACTTCTGCTGACTGCAATTTGGCAGTTCAAATCTCACCAGGTTCAAGGTTGACAGCCTTCCATCCTTCCGAGGTCGGTAAAATGAGGACCGTGAATCATCCTGAAGTGGTATGTAAGTCTAAGTGTTATTGCTGAAGCATGTCAGTGATTTACCTACTATATTTTTTCAGAGTATAATACGCACCTTTTTCCCCCAAAAAAGAGGGTAAAAATCTGGGTGCATCTTATACACTGAATACAGCATTTTTGGCCTCCCAAAACCCCACCCTTTTCTCAAAAATGGACGTGCATAGGCTTTGGGAGGCCTGCAAAGTGCTCCTGGGAGCTGGGGAGGGCAAAAATGAGCAAAAAACAGACCGGTTTTTTTGCTCTTTTTTGCCCCCCTAGCTCCCAGAAGCACTGTACAAGCCTCCTAAAGGCTATGCATACCGTTTTTTGGCAAACAATGGGCCCATTTTCACAAAAAATGAGCTGCCCCCCCGCAACAGCACTTTGCAGGCCTCTCAATCCCTCTGCATGCCCCGTTTTTCACAAAAAATGAGAGGTGCAGAGGGTTTGGGAGGTCTGCAGAGTACAAAAACTTTTTTTTAAAATGTACCTCTTCAAAATCTTGGTGCATCTTATACTCCGAAAAATACAGTACTTGCACCGGAGTGCTTTTTAACTGGTTAAATTTACTTTCTTGTCTTATATGTTTGTGTGTGAATATGTTTTGTGTGGAGGAAGAGATCATAGGGAATGACCAATATTCATGGTAAAGCATTTACTCTGCAGCCAGAAAACTGATGGTCCCCTAGCATTTCCAGTGAAAAGAAACAGTAGCAGATTGTGCTGGAATATAGTACAGTACTTGACTGCATAAAACTCGGTGAATTTGGTATTTGACGGGTTTTGAAGCAGAAATCTTGTCCCAGCACTCGTCTTTCTCCTGGTAGTCGATATGCAAGGAAGAACTTCCTGACGTTGGCTGCCTTGTGGCATGCTATTTCTTTTGGCCAAAAATCATGTGGTTTTCCCAGTACCTGTTGGTTTTAATATTCATAGCGTCTTCTGGAATGAATTACGGACGAGTACTGAAGTACCACTGTACAGAATTAATTAGTTAACAAGACTGGGTCTTGTATTAATTTTTGCTCCGAAAGATGCATTAGAGCTTATTTTCAGGAAAATATGGTACTAAATGCATCTGTGTGGCTGATGATCTTAACTGGGGGGGAGTCGAGTCCCAGTCCGAGGCTCGGCCTTACAAGCGTGGGTTGGCAGCGGGTGGTGCCGGCGGAATGCAGTAACCTGATTCCAGCGTGGGGCCTCTGATCCCATCTACAAGCAGCAAAGATGATTGATGACATCACAGCACCAGCACCGAGATGCAGCGCCGGGCGGGCTGTTTATATTTATTATATTCTGATAAGCTGCGAGGGGGAGGGAATTTGCTGCACTGGATGGTGGCTACTGGGGGGGAAGCAATTTTGTGGTAGGGCTTATATTATGAGCATCCTGAAAAATCATGCTTGGAAATTTGGAAGTGCAGGAACAGAGGCAAGGCGGACCTTCCCTAGCCTTTCACGGGTATATCTAATACCCATGCAGATTTGTGCTTTAGTCTGGCAAGATTCCGGTGGATAAGTCAGCAACAATAAAGTTGCTGAAAAGTAACTCCTGTCATTCATACTTCCTTGAGTCTGCGGTAGATAATGCAAAGACCTTTGTCTTTAATTCTGGCAAGAGAAACAGAGCTAGCCTAAGCCAATAGAAGGCAGTGTTTTATGTTAATAAGCTACTAGAAAATAAGCTCTTGGGGTGAGGGGGGAATAAGGGTTGTTTTGGTGCCACACCTGTATCATCCTGTTTCCTATGTATTAAGTAAATAAATAGGGTGTTTCTATGTAAAAAAAAAAAACTATGAAATTGTTACTACTGAAACTATTTTGACCTTGAAAATATATTTGACTTGATCCCCTGCTTATTGATGGCACACATCTTTCTTTTAGCTTTCCCTAAAAAATGTGAATGAGAATGAACAAATAAACTCTTTGCTCCGTTGCTGAATTAATAAGGCTTTTTTTTTTCATTACAAATGGAAATGAATGGTAGGTGGGGAGATATGCTACAGCCATGTTACATTTGATGTATTTAAACTCCGGGCTCTGTGTTATGCATCTTCAAGTGATATCTATCTGGGAACATGGCTGCAACCTTTGCTTGAAGTGATGATGCTCTCCATGATTGAAATATTCAATTTGATAGAAAAGGTCAGAGAATTCAGCCTGCCTATGCTGCTTGTTGTGGATCTGCAGTTTCCAGCTTTTGGCACGGCTGTTTTTGATTGAAACAAGCCGATATGAGGAGAGGATAATGGGGGATGATCTTGTTTACCCTTATTTCTTGTGCGTCAGATGCAACATTCATGAAGAATGTTAGGCACACATTAACAGAATAAGAGAGCCAATAAGTGCTAGACTCTCTCTAGTGGCTGTTTCTTTACCTGGCCAAATTATTGAACCTTTAGTTTTAAGGAGACTAAAGGGAATTCTGGAAAATGAGCCTCTCCTTTTCAAAGGAGAGGGGAGGGGGAAGCTTGAATATCTCCTGTGAGAATTGAGGTTAAAAGTCACTAACAACAGTGGATTATTCTGCTGCTAAAATGTACGATGGCTACACCTCTGAAATGTGGATTAAAGTGTCTACCAGCCTAATCTTACAAGCTGGAGATAGAGACCTAAGTTTCTTACAGTCTCTCTTTCTGAACAGCACTTCCTTTTAATAAATAGAACTGGGAATTCTTATTTCTCTCTCGCCCTCCCCCAATTTTTCCTATATATAAATGTAGCTGATATGCTCTTTTCAACATTGAGCCGCGGTGGCGCAGTGGTTAGAGTGCAGTACTGCAGGCTACTTCCGCTGACTGCCATCTGACTGCAATTTGGCAGTTCAAATCTCACCAGGCTCAAGGTTGACTCAGCCTTCCTGAGTTCCACAAATCTACAGTGCTGTTTAGAACCGGTTCCAGCTCCCTCCCCCTGCCCGTCCGCACATCATCAAGATGAAGAGCGAGAGGAGGAATTCTGGGAGTTGAAGTCCACAAGTCTTAAAGCTGTCAAGTTTGAACGCTCCTGAGGTTTTTTTTCTAAAGAATTAGCGGTGCAAGGGTCTTGTAAATTGACAGCTTTAAGATTTGCACACTTCAATGCCAGAGTTTCTGAGCCAACATTTTGGTTGCTAAGCAAGAGCGTTGTTAAGTGAGTTTCACCACATTTTACAAGTTGGCCATGTCCACCCAGTCAGATCTCTAGCAAGCCACTCCCACCTGGTCACATGGCTGGCAAGCCACTCCTACCTAGTCACATGGCCAGCAAGCCACTCCCACAAAGCAGGCCACAACCACAAAAGAGGTTCTAAAAATTTTTGAAACCCACCACTGCCCCTCGGGGTGTGTGTTTTGTTAAGATACAGCCTGTTGTGCCTTAAAATGGCTTCTACTGTACTGCAACTTGCATACATTATAAAAACAAGTTATATTGGAATAAATTGAATTCAATTAATGGCCAGGATAAATAATGAACAAGCATGCGGGTAGTCTTCCTTTAGTGATTGCCTTGGACAGTACCTGTTCACAGTTATGACAGTGATTTCGACCAGTGCCCACATTTATGTTCTTCACAACATCTTTCAATCAATGTACATCTCTCCAGTAACTCTGAATACAAACATCGATCCTCTTTTTGCTATTCACTCCACTGCCAAAGTAAGAATTCAGAAAGGCAGGCAAGGCAGGCAAGTGAAAAACGGCTGTGAAGATTTGCCTTTTTACCTGGCTTCCTCTTGAGCTGAGTTCCAGAAATCTTACCTGCTGTTTGGACTCACCTAGCTGTTTTGAGCCCCAGCTTTTTGATGCAGTAAAATAAATGATAGCTGAAGTAAAATTGTAAGCACAGTGTGGGTCATGTGGTTTTTCACTTATTATTATTAGCATATGGCCTTGTTACATTAGCCAATATAGTGCTATTGCAGAGTAGTAGATCAGTTGCCTGTTTACCAGCTCTGTCAAGTACATGCTTGTGCGCTTCCCAAGATTCAAGCTAGCTTCTCACCAGAAAGAAAAATGAGTGACTCTTTGTGCAGCAGCATCAAAGGCTCCCTTCCTTCCCCAGAGCCACCTCACAAGAGGGCATCACAACCAAAAAGGTTCAGAGCCGGTAGGAATCTGATGGTTCCACCACAAATCCGCGAAGCCCTTATCCGCAGAGACATAAGTGCGAAGACTAATTCGCACCGTTCGAAGCGCTAAGGAAAAACGCGACCCTACCGCGATGACATAATCGCGGAGGGCAAATCCATGCATTCCCAAGCACTCAGCATCCTAACCCTAAACCTAACGCTAACCCTAACCCTAAACCTAACCCTAAACCTAACCCTAACCCTAACCCTAACCTAACCCTAAACCTAAACCTAACCCTAAACCTAACCCTAAACCTAACCCTAACCCTAACCCTAACCTAACCCTAAACCTAAACCTCACCCTAAAACAAACCCCTAAACCTAATCCTAACCCTTACCTTAATTTAAATCCGCTTTCTGCCGCCGCTGCGCTGTTTTAAAGCGCCCTTCTGTTGCCACGCTGTTGTCGCGGCGGTGATGACGCACGGTGATGACGTCACGGCTTTAGCGACGCGATTTTATCACCACCATTTTGACAAGCGCGGTTTTGTCGTGCCACGGAATCTGACTGCCTGCACAGAGCACCAACTCGTCTCTCCACTGAAGTGGTACCTATATATCTTGTTGCATATAACATGCTTTCAAACTGCTAGGTGGGCAGAAGTTGAGACAAGTGATGGGAGCTCACCCTGCTGCACAGTGCTAGGATTTGAACTGCTGGAGCAGAGACCATCTCCAACATCATTAAACCACTGAACCACTGTGCCTCTTTTCACTTAGCTTGGCTTAACAACTGAGTTGTTACAACAGCCTCAATTATAGTCACTTGGTGTATTTTCCTAAGCTGTATTGAGTCATGTTTGTTCAAATAAATTGGGATAAGTCTTGGAAGGAAAGTAGAGCTACTGAAGAAATGCAAAATTCTATTTCTTTTCTTTTAGGGAAAAAATATTGGAAGTGAATCAAATTCAAGCAATAATATTTGGATGGGAACGCTACAAGTTAATAGTCATTTTCTTTTTCTTGTTTTAGTGCTGCATATGATGCTGTACTGGACAGAAATGTGGCTATCAAGAAGCTCAGCAGGCCATTTCAAAATCAGACACATGCTAAGCGGGCATATAGGGAGCTAGTTCTCATGAAGTGTGTGAACCACAAAAATGTAAGTATTCCTTTTCTGGAAGGACTCGGAAGCCTGCATAGTTCACACTACTAAGTGAAAAAGATTGTGCTAATACATTGCTGCAAAGTTGACTGTCTCACCTTCGTTATTTTAAATGCAAAATCCTATAGGGCTTTGTGTAGCAGCAATTTTTTTTTTTAAAAAAAAACTTCTACTAACAAACACATAGATTTGGATAGAATGCTGAAATGGCGATGCGATCACAGATGCTTTATTCCCATCCCACAGCAGATGTCTAAGAAAGGGTACAAAATACACACTTTCTTTGTGGCGAGAAGAAAATGTTATTATAGTATAGCCATGCAGCAGCATATTTGATGATGCTTTCAGTATGGAGATTCTTTCCCCTTTAAAGTTAATGGAAGTTCTCTAGAGAAAAGTGAAAAAAACCTGTATTGATTCCTGGTGACTGCCTGAATTAGTCCTTGCAGTTTTCTGGACAATATTTTTGGAAGTGGTTTGCCCTTGCCTCCTTCCTAGGGAGAGCAACTGAATAGAATCAGGATTAATACTAAGGACAAAAGTTATCCATGAGAAATAAAACAGCTGTGAAATACATTGTCTTTATTTAGGTCACAAATTATTTGAACCATTCTCCCCAAGTCATTCCTTTACAAAATTGAGAAAACAATGATTCAGGGAACTAGGTATTGTCTAGTCCAGGAGTAGTCAACCTTTTTATACTTACCGCCCACTCTTGTATCTCTGTTAGTATTAAAATTTTCTAATTGCCCACCGGATCCACAGTAATGGTGATTTATAAAGTAGGGAAGTAACTTTACTTTATAAAATTTATAAAGCAGAGTTATAGCAAATCCCTACCACCAGGGGTGGGTTTCTCGCCCCGTTCCAACTGGTTCGGTTGGAACGGGGCCGGCGGCGTCCTCATGCATGCGCGCGGTGCACGCATGTGTACTAGCGTCTGCGCGATGCTCCAGCTGCTCCTGGACGATCGCGCAGGCGCTGTGTGCGTCCTGCGCATGCGTGGAAGCGCAGAACTCGTCAAAACCGGGTAAGGACCGCGGGCGGGCGGGTGCGCCCTTCGCAGTTCCCGGAAATTTTTTACTTCCGGGTTCGGTGACCAACCGGTTCGCAGGGACCGCCGCGAACCGGTTGAAACCCACCCCTGCCTACCGCCCACCATGAAAGCTGGGGGACCAGGTTGACTACCATTGATCTAGTCTGACAAAGGGAAGGGTTAGGGTGAAGTGATAGCTGTCTTCCAGTAGTTGAGATGGTGTCATAAAGAAGAGGAAGACAACCTATTCTCCAAAGTACTTGAAGGCAGGACAAGAAGTAACAGGTGGAAGATTATTACAGAGAGATTGAATCTAGAACTATAGAGAAGTTTCCTGACAGTGAGAACAATTAATAAGTGAAATGTTTTACCTCCAAAGTTGCGGGTGCTCCATCACTAGAGGTTTTCAAGAAGAAACTGGACAGTCATTTGTCTGGAATGATATAGGGCAGGGGTGTCAAACTCAATTTCATTGAGGGCCACATCAGGGCTGTGGTTGACCTTGGGGGGTGCATGGCCAACTGGGTGGATGTGGCCAACTGGGGGGCATGGCCAGCTTGATGACACTCCCCAAACTGCAGGCTCGATGTTTCCTCTTTGCATTGGGTAGACCGGGCCAAAGCCAAGCTGAGCTCTGTTTTGCTAGCGGAGGCACTGCGGGCTGGACCTTCGCTGTTTCCAGGGCAGCCCCATGGCCAGATCTAAGGGTCCAGCCCACAGGCCTTGAGTTTGACATCCCTGATGTAAGCAAATACATGTAGCAAACTCACATTTTATTGAAGAGAAATTCCATTTTCATATGGCCACATTAAAAATATATCCCATAGGACATAAGAGAGGATCAGTTTTAATGAAAGTAAAGAGCCGAGGTGCGCAGTGGTTATGGTGCAGTACTGCAGGCCACTTCAGCTGACTGTTTTCTGCAGTTCAGCGGTTCTAATCTCACCGGCTCAAGGTTGACTCAGCCTTCCATCCTTCC